CCGTCTTAGTCTTTGCGGCTTTTGTTATGGTGCACTTTGAACCTCCGTGTGAGGAACCAGTTGCGCCTTCATTCGAATTGGTTCTGTCCAACGAATACGAGGAGGACGGTGCACTATATGGTCGCTGTAGATCTTCAAATTTGACTCCTCCTTCAGTGATCTCAACCTCATTTCGAGAATTAAATGTCGGCGTTTTTTCGTCTCCATCTGCGTATAGTCCGGTTGAAAAAAACTTCGCAATTAGTATCCTGGATTCTGAAACGTCATGCGAGAATGATTTTGACATGTTCTTCACTATCCAACACTAATTTTAGTGGTCGGAATGTATACGTTCTGATATACCATTTGGGCGCCTTTCAAGCCTAAAGTGCGTTCGCACATCTACCACCTCCGTGGGCCACAGGAGCTTGTTGAAGAAACCTTGGAAGAGCCTATGGTCTGCCAACTCCCCATCTGTGAAAGTCTTGGCCTCGGATTCTGGAAATCCATATATTATCAGATTTTGTGATCGGTCGGGCGAATTTCTCGATGTTTCCTTAATATCGAGCTTTGGGGAAGATAAAATTTGCCTGTCATGGTGTAACGATGGCTTATGCACGATCTGAGGTTTTCAAACTCCACTTTCTTGGTACCCTCACTTACACGTGTTGTCTCCAATGACTGGCGTGTTGCCGATGGATGTTGCGCATCGGTATTGCATACTTGGCTATTCGCTTTGTTTGCATAAATGCAACTTGGACCCTCTCCCACGTCGTTCGTTAGCGTACCTGGAGGTATGTCAGCCTGCTCGTTCAATTAACCAGGATCAAGCCCCGCCCCCACAGGCTTTTTGCTAGCATTTGATTCTCCTTGTTATACTTGTCCTCCCAAACACACAACTTTTGGACTTTAAAAAGGGTCCCCCTGTTATTTGAGGTGACGCTATTTATGTTAAATTATTTTCCATTTATGTCTATTTTTTCTGTATATGATTCGTCCCCTTCTCTGTCCAATCCTTATTGCCATTCTCCGTTCTCACTGCACCACAATAGTTCTATCAACCAACCTCTTTATATTTATAGAAACAGTTTTATTTTCCTACGTTTTGGTTATTTTAAGTTCGGGTCCGCTGAGCTCTGCCCCCGCTTTATTGTTAGGAGTTTTTTCACTGCATCCTCCCTAGTTCACTATACATTTCAGAGAGTGTTGGCTATTAATTTAAAATGACGATATGTTGGCGGATATGAATTTACCTGCTTACCATAATAAACATTCCCGCTGCCTATGTGGTTGCTCGCAAAGAACAGCGTTTATCAACTTTGTATTTATTTTTCCACAACACTAAGTTTGCAATGACGAGGCTCTCCGGGCCTAAAATATAAAATGTCCTCATTTATAACCGGATAGGTCCTTATTTGATAGATCCTTCGTCTTCTGATTGAGACCATAACAACCTAGAGCTGTGCCTTGATAAGGAAATTTTTTTTCCTATATAAAGCTTCGAAAGCTTTGCTGAGTTTCGCAAACGGTAATACGGGATATGCAGGCACAACTTTCTGTCCGCAAACTTGCTCATGCCGCCAATTCACATGCAGCTGACCCTTGCGGAAAATGGCCGAAAAAAGATACGTGCAACCGAATATTATTTACCTAACCAGTTTGAAATAATAGTATAATAACCTAACGTAGACTTTTCTTAGAACTAAAGCTGAGGTACTGCCCAGAAAGATAACAATAGCTTTTCGTCTCTAATGAAGTGGCCGCAGGTTTATCGAATGCGCCCGAGCCCAGAAGTACCCTAAATAAGCAAAGAAATGAATTTTATATAAAGGCCTGGCGGTTTTTGACATTGCCAAATATTGAACATTATGTTGAACATACTTCGCAGTTGAGACCAGAATGTACACGCGTTTGTGTCTGTAAACAACAAACCTCACTGCATTGTGCCTCCTGGCTGTAAATTTACGCGTACTCGTTGGCTTGAAATGTTATCCTATTTCTTATGTACGATCACACAAACAAATTTCGTATTCACTAGACTAAAATGCATCGTAGAACAAAACATTTTGGCCACATAGGAACTTGCGACAAGTTTGTCACCCATGACTATCAGCCGCCATCCTTTGCGCAATAATGAAAAGCTCGCTGACGAAATATTATAAAAACCGTTGAATCATGAAGAACACGCTCGCTGAAATTTTAGCCAGGCGTTTATGGTTACTTTTGTCAATTGTGTGTTTTTTTACATGGGGCGGTATTTCAAATGTAGCATGATTAGATCTACTGCATTAATGCAACGCAGGTTCCAGGTGTAAAATTCCTACTACAAGTGAGCGTTGAAACTCTAAGCAGAGATATAAAAACGCTGTTGTTGAGACAGGCTCGGTATAAGCCACCTCCACATGATTAACTTTTTCAACATGGCTGTAACCGCTACGGGTAACTCGAAATTTGGCTGTCGTCTAACTTAGCAGTTTTTAAAGCCAAATTACGTAAACATTTAACTTCGGAAGATATAAAATCCTTGTTATCCATCTCCTTCGGAAACACACAAATTTCGGACTTTGAAAAAAGTCCCCCTGGTATTTGATAATGTTATATTTATATTAAATTGTTTTCCAGAGATGTCTATTTCTTCCTCTATAGAGTGAGATTAATAATAATAATAGTAATAAAAATAATAATAATTTGTATATTTAAGGCCCAAGGGGCCCTGTCATTACAAACTTAGTGGTA